TGACTCCAAAAAACATAATCCAGTGGGAAAGATTAATCCAAGGAATTAAAATTCTGGAAATATTGAAGTAATTGCTATAAAAGGGATACAAACCAGGAATGCAAGTGTCGTCCTTTTATATCTTTTGCAGAGTGCATTCTATACTTTCCTATATCATCACAATTTTAGTAATTGTGCTACCTTTTTAAATGAGAACATAAACTATCTTTCATTAAATGCAAGCTTTTTGAAGGAAATTAACTTTTTGTGGAGTTCTTTTTTAATGAGATATTTATCAGTCAGTTATTCTTGAAGTATCTTGATAACACGCAAATAATTTGGATTAAGACCCTAAAAGTAACTATTTGAGCTTTACTTATATTCTCTTTGATAAAAGTGGCAAATGTAAACATAGTCTAATACTTTAATCTTCTAGCCAAGTGTGTGTGTGTGTGTGTGTGTGTGTGTGTGTGTGTGAGAGAGAGAGAGAGAGAGAGAGAGAGAGAGACAGAGAGAGAGACAGAGAGACAGACAGACAGAGAGACAGAGAGACAGAGAGACAGAGACAGAGAGACAGAGAGAGAAATCTAACGTCCTCTCTAAACTTCACCAAGGCAGAATATCCTAATCTTTATATTTGAAGGCTTATGTGCCCTAGATTGTCTGTCATTTCTTTTCTGAGACTCCTATTCATCCCTCTAGATCCAGTTTAAATGTGACCACCCAATTTCCACAAATACTCTTCTGGGCACCCAAGACACCTCTGCATTCCTCTAATATAGTGTATTTCACATTGCACCTACCAGATTTTGAGATATTTGTTGCACTGTTATGCACTTTGAACAAAATAGGTATAACTGTTTGTGAATAAATGAGCAAATGAGTGAAAGAATGACTAACATATGATACAATTATGCTAGATATTAAAATAGCTAGAATTATTCAGGTTTTCCTTAAATCACACACCATGATTCATATTAGCATTTTGTTTTTCCTACTTCCACATTCTAATAGGAAACCAGAACCCTAGATGTATATTATTCTGAAGCAATATCACCCCATTCACCTCTGACCTTTTAAATCCATTACCATAAATTTGGAATCAAAAGAACTACATAGATGAAAACAGAAACAACCCCAAATTTCCAAAATACATTTTAAATTAATTTCTTCTACATTTACACATTCATTTACTGTATAAGAGTGACTGCTATTTCTCCAAATCTCCTCTTTACCTTTTTCATAACAAGATCAGTCTTTTCAAGATTTCCTCAATTTTTTGAAACAAAACCACTTCAGTTTACTGAGCTTTACACAACGTTGCAAAGATGAAAATTCTTTAAGCTACAATTTTTAGTTTAATGTAGAATTGCTGCCCATTTCTTTCCTTTCCTTCTTTGAATCTTATCACAATGAAATATGATATTTGGGTCACTCCTTGTTTCCAAGTGTGATGACCACAAGGCCAACAAACAATGTGGTCCCTGGACATAGAAGAGCATGGATGTCACCCTCTTTCTTCCCTTCACCTGTATCAGGTACAGACCACAGATAAAGCAACCTGGCTGCCCAGGGAGCTTTTGTCCCTGCTCTATGTATAGGAGGGAAAAGAGCTCATTGCACAAACATTTCATGTGCACAGAGAACATCACAGGTGAGGTGGACAAGACTCATGAGTGAACCTGAAAAGGCCAAACTATAAATTCTTAAGTTGCAGAGTAGGAAGAAACATTCCAGACAGTTAAGTAATGCTTTTTGTTTTATACATGAGAGCAAGGGCCAGCACCTCACTAGTGGCAGAGACAGAATGAGAGCCCAGGTCTCCTGACTCCTGTTCCTGTGCTCCCACCACTACACTTTCTTTGTCTCCAGGCTCACTCATATCCCCCTGGGGTTGGACACAACAGGGACAACATATCACCATCCAATCCAGTATGCCAATGGAAGATATTCTTCCTTCTAGCAGAGTCCTAAGTATACACTAACCATACAGGGGGGTCCACAACTGTATGTTTAATGAAGCATAAAAAGAAATCACAATGTTTCATTCATTTCAATACAACAAGTATTTATTGAGCACCTATCATGTACAAGGGCCACGGCTATGTGTTAGGCAACATTAGGGATTACAGAAATACAATTAACTACATTAGATATCGCATTGTTACTTGAGTGACATGGAAATATAGGCAGTGCTACAGGGGTCCAAAAGAAAACACCAGAACTGCTAACCAGAATAACTGTGGTTCAAGTTAGGGGTATGGTGAAGGTTTTGCAGGAGAGGCAATATTTTCATTGACTCTTAAAGAAAGAAGGCTGCTTCCTCAGGTAGAGTAGAGAAGAGAAAGACATGCCAGAGAAAGGGGTTAACTTGACCACATGTACAAATTAGATAGAACAGCAAGTGGACAACTCAAATTCCATGGGGAAAGAGAGCAAGAGATGGGATTGGCACAGTGTTTGTGATAATATTGATCGCATCGCTAAAGAACATGGGCACTAGCCTTTAAAGGGAAGCACTGGAAGGGGTCTGAGCTTAGAAGGACATTCATCTCTGGGGTTTGGAGGTAATTCTCCCATTCATGTAGAGAATGAATTGGAGATGGGAGGGGCAGAATGCACAGAAGCCACTTAAGATACTTTTCCACAAAGGAAACACTGTGTGGAAACGCATTCCTTGTCACACTTTCCTCCAAGCAGCGTCCAAGCCTGGGGACACATGTGAAAAGGTATACATTTCTCAAGCAATGAAGGAAAAAGAGCTTTTTCTGCCTTTTCTCAGATTGTCCCCTTTGCTCTGATAGGGACTGTCAACTAGCCCTGTGGCTGTGTGGCCGCATGGCTGTGGGCAGTGGAAGTGAGAAATCCACTTTTAGCCCCTCTCCATGGGCTCCAAAAGCCCTAAACAAAGCAGTTGGGAGTCACAGAAAACCTGCCACAATGGAATTCTCCAACTTCCTGTCCCTGGCCACCTTCTCAGGTACTCATGTCACTGGCAGTCACTGAGGCCCAGGCCCTCACTCTGTCCCCAGTCTGTGCTATAGATGGGGCCATACAGGCAGGAGGGCAACTGGATGAAAGGAGAGGAGGCCACCAAAACAATCCAGAAGGAGAGACAAGGCTGAGCTTGGACAACAATCAGGACGCCCCTGTCCTCATCAAACAGCAAATCTTGAGGGCTGTCATGCAGCCATTTCATCTAAAAGATGAGTCATCTTTTTCTAAGGGGCAAGGGCTCTGGAGGGTTATGCAAGGTGGTCCCAGAGTGGGGGACAAAGAGTCCAGCCTCCATTTGTGTTGACTCAGTCATTGTATCTTTGAAAAATGTTTACCTTAATACATGTTTTATAAATTAACACCTATGAACTCTATCTTATATATACAATTTTAAAATAATTTAATATGCATTGTTGAAATCCACACTCAAAAACATTTTTGGTGGTGGTATATGATTTTAAAAGTTTGGAGATCATTGTGATATACCATAGTCTTTGCCATCCAATGAAGGTCAGATTGCATCCTACACACAAAAAGCATTTTATTGAGTTCAACTGTGACTGACTTAAATCCACAGTATATGCCACATTATAGGCAAAAAAAAATTAAGGAGAGGGGGCAAAAGGAGAACATCACTTTATATTTAAAAATTGAAAAGCTTCCTTACATCTTATGTCTGCATTTAAAGTGTTAACAAACAATTTAGGAAATAAATAACTTTATCAAAACCAAGAACTGTGTTTAAAAAACTAAACTCAATCCTATGCTTTAAAACATTTTAAAATAATCTAGTCTCTTAAGGAAGCACTTTTTTAAAAAGACTTAAATATCAAACAAAATCAACCAATCCTGACTCAAATTTTACCAAGGCAGGAAAACCATCCTAGTGTCATTAAAAATGTGTGTTCTATATTCAAATTACATAGGCCATAATTTATTGTCATCTGGAGTTTTTGAGTGAAAATTTGATACTATTTCCAACCCTTGTACACACACACACACATTTACTAGTATGTGGCTATGAAAGGAGCTATCTATAGAAAATCTTCCTGATTCAATACACATATGCCCTTCATTCCTGTTGACAGAGAACTCCAGAACTTCTCCCTTCCTGAGCTTCTTTTAATTTTCAACTTTTTGTAAATTTTAATCCAAGTTCTCATATGGCAAAGTGGATTAAATTCCCATGTGACCACCAGTAATGGGGATGAAAAACTAAAGGCTGATTTCACTACAAGTTTTGTGTTGAAAACTCAAGTTTGTATATGCTAACTAATAATCTATTATTCATACTAATGCTTAGAAAAAATATTTTAAATGTCCACTGTGTACCATGCACTGTTTCAGAAACTGTGCTAGCACCAGTAATAAGATACAAAGCTGTAAAGTCAGTCCCCTCCTCTTAAAGCAGAAGCAGAGACTCTGTCTCATCCATTGCTGCCCCGAGCACCCAAACAATGCCTGGCACCTGGTATGTACCAAGGTACCTCCCCCAAGCAGCTCACAACCAATGAAGATGAGAAGTGAGGGAGACAAAAATGAAATACAATACTTGCAAATAATTATATTTATATGCTTATTCACGTACAAGAATATCTGACAACAATTTCCATCTCCCTTCTGACTCCATAATGAAAACCTCATGTAGCTCAGAAAAAGGGTTTAAACTCCCAGCATGGTCTATTTTTAGTTTTAATTGCAATGCTTAGCAAAGCTTGGGAGAAAATAATTTCAACTTATTTCGAAAATAACTCCCATTCAATATAAGAACATGAGTTTTTCACGCGTAAATTTTTATGCATTTGATATGAAAATGGTTTGGCATATGAATAAAGCATTTTCTTAGAACCTCTGGTCTATTGAAGATCCAGGGCTGATATCTATTAATAAAAATGAAATGATTTGCCTCAAAAAAGTATAAAAGCTCACACTCTCCTTCCCAACAGACTCAGTTTTATCTAAGCTATTATAACCTAGAGAAAGTGCATTCAAGCCAATGTGAGACATAAAGGTTGGGTACTTACTGATCCGTACAGCTCCCCCTTCTCATTCATGCCGAGGTAGAGTCCACTGTCCACGCCTCGAATGCTGACAAGGCCCACGGCTATACTGATAAATTCCAGAATGCCTACAAGACAAAGGGCAGAATGCAAACAGCAGGTCAGAGCGCAGAGCATTGCCTTAGAGCCTCATCATCACTAGAAGTTTCAAAAAGGACTCAGACTAGCTTCCAACTGGGATAATCTCACACTCATTGAGAAAGTGTATTCTCTTAAAACCAATGCCTAAAAGAACTGGCTTTTATAGTAATGCTACAAAAATACTTATTAACATGATGCATAACATTTTAAAAATAAAAAGCTAGTATTTACATAGATATGCTGAGAAGTGATATGACATAAACCAGTGTACATATTCTAATTAACCTAAAAGAGTATAACTGGAGAGAAAAACACCCAATTTTACTTCCAGTTGATAAATGCGAAATTAAGCATTTGTGTATGGGCATAGATCAGAAAAAAATTTCTATTCATAAAATGGTCTTATGTCCCTCAAAATAAGAGTATGAGGTGCTAACTTGATTGGTTTATACAAAAAGTTATACAGCTCTCTACTGTATAACTATATTGAGCTCCATCTGGAACATTAAAATAGCCTACACACATCCTAAATATTTCTACTTAAACAAGTATTTATTATTGCTATAGTTATCTAAGCCTCATAGAGATACTTAAGCAATTAAGATTCTGGAAATAAATGCAGATTCCAAAAATACTTTTTTTTTAAATATATCCTTATTGATTTCAGAGAGAGGAAAGGAGAGGAAGAGAGAGAGATAGAAACATCAATGATGAGAGAGTCATTGATCGGCTGCCTCCTGCACACCCCCTACTGGGGATCGAACCCGAAACCCAGGCATGTGCCCTGACTGGGAATCGAACCCCAGTCCCCTGGATTCTAAGTCGACGCTCAACCACTGAGCCACGCCCGGCCACGCAAAAATACTCTTGATTTTTAGTCATGAAATACTATATCCCAAAAACAAGTCAACATAATGATCTCCTTTTATTTCCTTCTTTCTGTTTACTTACCTCACTAAGAATAACAGCACCTAAAAGCTAGGTATAAATCCAGAATTCTATGGCTATGTAACAATGGCTTTAATTTCTCTAACTATATGGTTGTTTTAACATGATTACCCAACAGGATATTTGCGACAATGTAATATTACTCATGCTTAGCCATTTTCTCCATTTTGTTATAAAGTGCTAGACTTTGTAAAGACCTTGCATTAATGTATAACAAATATTGAGTTGATTTTTAAAAATCTTCAAATCTTGAAAAATTTTCTTACATTTTAGAGTTTAAAAAAACCGAAGAATAACATTGGCCTATAGTTAGTCTCATGTGACTAATAAAAAAACACTTACATGGATATTAAACAGTTAATTTTTCAACTCTCACAAAACAGACTGTGCTCTAGTGAAAAGATATGATAAATACATGGCGATGAAAGGAGACGAGACTTTGTGTGGGGAGCACACAGTAGAGTATACAGATGATGTTATGATAGAATTGTACACCTAAAACTTATATAAAGTTATTAACCAATGTCACCCCAATAAATACAATTTAAAAACAAAATACATGAACTACATACATAAAATAAAGCAAAGGGCCCCAAGGTGATGTGAAAGACAAGAGATATTTCTTATAAAGGGGCATTCCTAATTCTTTTATAAGCACAAAATAGAACAAATATCTTGTGTTTACAATTCACAGAATATCTATCTGGACCTGCAAACTACTTTTTTGAAATGTGAAATACTGTATGGAAAAATAGAAAGCAAAATTACAAATTACATTTCAGATCTCATAATGGAAGATACACCAAAAATAAACAAGTTTATTAATAGTCTTTCCTACCTCAAAGCAAATTGAAAGATAAGGCAATATTTCCATGAGACTCATTTCACACTTATTGATGCAATCGGTTTGTTTCATTGTACTATATCTAACTTTTAGTGTTGAAAATAATTAAAATTGTGGCATTTAACAACTATTAGAAGTCACATACAAGTGAATCTCTTCTTAGCTACCTGAAAACAGCACAATATAGGTCATAGTTACCCTGAAATTAGCATTAGGAATTCATTAATGTCCAATTGTCATCATAAAATGAAAGACAGGAAACATTTTTCCCCCTTGGAGTTCTGACCAATAAGGTAAACCATTTCAACAGGGAAAAGATTAATCACAAAACAAAAATACTCACATCTTCTAAAAGGGTATGTGGTGACCTTTCTTCTTTCCCTAGACAGGAGGCAGCTGAGAATAATGAATATTGGCCAATGGTGACCTTCATGCCCAACAAGAAACAGGGAGTATGTGACTTCACAAAACCATGCAACTGGCTAGTATGCAGAATATCAAGAATAACAACAATAACAATCTAATTAATAGCTAGAACACTTGAAAATTTAGTGCCAAATGAGAGGCCTTCTCTCATTCAATCCTCAGGACAATCCTACTCATTATAATATTTTTTTAATCCTCACCTGAGGATATGTGTATTGATTTTGGAGAGAGAGGAAGGGGGAGAGAGAGAGAGAATGAGAAACATCAACATGAGAGAGAAATATCAATCAGTTGCCTCCCACATGTGCCCCAACCAGGGATTGAACCCACAATCTAGGTATGTGCCCTAACCAGAAATCGAACCCACAACATTTTGGGGCAACATTTTATGCTCCAACCAACTGAGCCACCTGACCAAGGCTCATTAAATATTTTAATCTCCATTTTACCAATGGGGACCCTGAGGTTTAAGGGTATTAAATAACTTGCCCCCAAGCAAACAGACACCAAAGCTTATCTCCTCATCTATTACACATATCTTACCATTAGTTTCACCTTTTTTCCCCAGATCCATGATTTCTGTACCATTTCTATATAGTTGTTCCATGACTAGCAACTAGAAGATGTTGCCTAGGTGAGATTCCACAGACCCCATGGGCAGAACTAGGAGTAGCAGAAGAAATGGAAACAGGTGAGCCACCAGGACTACACTCTCTTCTCACATAGACCTTGGGAAGGTAGGCATATCTAACATGTGTAGACTATTTATCCAAATTATCTACACGCACAGAGCAAGCATATAGCTTCTTCTGTTAAAATAGCTTAAGTTCTGAAGTTGTTATTATTATATACCTTGGAAATGAAAGTATTAAGATATCTATCTTGTTTCTTTTCTCACATCAAGATAGCTGTAATTCATTGTATTAACTTATTCAATCAACAAACTATTAGTGAGTGACTATTATAAGCCAAGCTCCAGGCCATTTGTTGAGCATACAAGGATGAATAAGATATAACCTAGGCGCTATAACCTCAAAGGCCTCCCATCTAATGGGAGAAAGGATGAATAAAAGATGAATCTAATAACAATGCAGTGAATGCAGTGAGAGGGAGCCTTTTGAGGAAGAATCAGTGTCCAAGGATGGGCTTGAGAAGGGGAATCAGAGGGGCTTCCTAAATGAAATAGTACCTGGGACAAGCCTCCAAGAGGCTCACCATATGAAAAGGAACTTCCTATCTAGTGACCCCAGGTGGAAAAGATTTCATCACCTCAGACACCATCCATATCTCTGCAACTCCTTGAAAAGTAAAGACCTCAAAAGAACAGTTCAGCTTTTCATAAGGTCATCTCAGTGATCTGAGAGCCAATGGAACACCTGAATGTTTGAGTCACGGCCACTCCAGGTTTTTCTGTTTGAGTCAGAAAGACCTGACAACCTGGCAACAAGATCTGCATACACACACATATACCCAGGCCAGACTGGAATCCTTACCATTTATAGTACCATCTTGTCCCCAGTGAACTGTATAACCTCAACCAAGTCAGCTCACCTCTTTTGGCCTGAGCCAAGAACATCCTCTAACTGTCCTCATTTGAGTAAGACCCACTCCCCATTACCTGTTCAGCACAGAGGAGGCCCAGGAGAAGGCTTCTGTGTAGGGACATTTAAATGCTTAATGATCAACAGGAGAGGAGGGGGGAAAAGGAAAGAGTAAAGAAGAGAAAAAGGAAGAAAGAAGGGAAGGAGGGAGGGAGGGATTGTGCCTAAAATGAATACTGTGGCCCTCAGGTGTGTACCATGGTGATCTGTCTCTCCTCTTAGGCAGACACAACCTAGACATCCTCAAGTAATGGGTATTGATGGAGGTACATGGGAAATACAGGGTCCATGCCTAGTTTCATTTGGCAATTCCCTTTCACAGCAGCCAACAGTTCCCAGTGATGATGAGCTCACTGGGTTCCAGAGGGTCTTATGCTGTCTGAGGTCATCCCTGGTCCACGAGAGGCCAGGTCAGTTCTTTGGGACCACTTCAGGAAAAAAACCACACCAGACCTCCGTCCTTGCTCCAAACTGAGCAGGTAGCAGTGATCAGCCCCAGAGTTCTGTTCAAATGAACTATTAACCCAAAGCTGGCCCAGCTCCCAAGAGCCCCCTGTATTGTGCCTCACCTCCAAGGCCATAACAAGACCAGCCCTGGGAAGTGGGAGGGTGGACAGAGGGTGCTCCACTCTAGCCCATGTTCAACAGCCCTCTTGCCTAAAAGTCCCCAACACTTAACAGAGCTGCATTCTTCAAAGGACAAGAATGTACGCAGGCTGTGGAGAGAGGCATGAGATGAGACTTTGAGAAGATTAAACCCCCTACTACAGAGTTCCCTGCTCAGCCAGCAACCCCACACCAGGGCCATCCAGTCATTCATATCAGGGCCTACATCCCAGAAATTCCAGTCAGCAGCAACTTGAGCAAATCTCAGAGTTACTTAAAAAATGACTACCTGAATGGCAGTTATAATCCCACCAGTTTTTCAAGACTCTGGACCAGTCCTAAACAGCTCCTTAAATAGGCAGTCTTTCCCTTATCGAGATGCTGAAGAGCCAGATACACAGAACATAATTTTTTGAAATGCAAAACCCTGGAAATAAGATTGCTGTAACCTCTTTAAAAAAAAAAAAAAAAAAAAAAGGTAATGCTACCCTCTAGTACAACTTCCACCTGACACCTGGCCCCTTTGAAGTGCAGCCCCAGTTAGGGTGCTCATCTCAGGTCTTTGCAGGCCTCGTCTGGGGTCCTGTCAGGCCACAAGGCACAGCCAGAGAAGCAGGCCATCTTTCCACCAAGGTTAGGGTTAACTACTCAGGATTCCTTCCCTGTGCAAGTAAAATAGAGGATCAGGCCCGACGCTCACTTTTTTATTCTTCTACATGACCATTTTCTCAATTGATGTTCTGCTCACATTTTTCTGCTGAGCAAGCGCTTTAAGGGGGGGAGGGGGGGGAGGAAATGAAACGTCTGGCTCCCCTAGCCTGTGCCCCAGAGACACAACTCCCAATTCATTATCTCCACGCCACCACCCTCAAAGGGAAAAATACAGGGCTCCCTCAAGGTCCCTAAGTTGTCACCGATGCAGCTCCTGCTGGGACAGCAGTAAGATCCCCGCACCCCGCGTCCCCTGCAGTGCCGCAGTTGTCTCCACCAGGCCCGCCCAAAGCCGCAGTCACCTGCGGGGGTGGGGGGTCACTTTCCTCCTGCAGGTTCATTCCAGTTGGGAGATACACCTTCGATATTTATCAAAGTGTAAAGCCGCCCACCCCTGCCCCACAGCTACTCTTTTCAGAGACTGGGAGGAGACACTGAGGGTAAAGAACTCTGTCCCCGGAGAAGAGTCCGAGAAAGAGCGGAGCGGTGGGCGCCCGGTGCCAGGTGTGAAGCGCTGCCGCAGCCCCCGCTGGCCAGGAGCCGGGTCCTAGTGCCGCCGGCTGCCCCCGGCGCAGCTGCGCAGGCAGGGCCGGCGGCACCCGGCTCTCNCTAATATTGGGACCTGCCGCAGCGGTAGCAGCGGGAGACCGCGACACTGCTGTCACCCCGGCGGCCGTTCTCACTGCAACCAGATGAAAGACTAAAATAACCCTTTTCCCCACCCCCACTGCGCAGAGCCACCCACTCAGCTCCAACCAAGCCACCGAGAGCTACACCGCTGAGCGCCAGGAGCGCCCTTCCCCCGCCGCCAGCTCCTGCCAACCCTCCAGCTCCGGGCTCCGCGCCCCCCATACTCGACCCGGGCGGAGGCCTCCGCTCCCCGCCTTCCCACACACAATACCCCTGCCAACCCGGCCGACAGTGCCCTGTGAGTCTAAACAGTAGCGATGTCACCTCCAGGATGGGGGCGGGGAGAGTGACGAGGTCTAGGTTTTTGTTGTTGTTTTATCGTCTTTATTCAGCCGATGTACCGGCAGATCTTGTCCGCCGACCCCAGAGCGCGCCTCTCGGGGTCCTCCTCACCCTCGTTGTCCCCACCTTCCCTCGCCGGCACATCTCATAATCTCTCTACGCTGGGCCCAGTCGTGCTGCACCGGGGTTCCGAGGGTTCCTCAAAGACCAGGCTCGGCCAGTTCACACAATGCCTGCCAGGTGCGCCGCCGCAGCGCCCCGGGGACCCCGAGCGAAAAAGTCGGCCCACCCAAGCCCTGGAAAGCGGGCCTCCGGCAACTGGCCGTAAGCTGGGCTCCGGAAAGCAGTTAACAATAGCTTGCCGTCGTTCCGCCTGGCCTTTGTCCGCCCCCCATCTCTTCCCCCGCACTCCAGACTTGCGGGCCTGGGCCCCGACCCACCTCCCGGGCACCGCAGAGCTCAGCAACTCTCCGTGCCCTGCCTGTGCGCTTCCGAAAGAGGGAGAAGGATCCAAGATGGAACAGGGAGATCAGGCACCAATATCCAGCGGGTCCTCAGCCCCCGCCACTAAGTCTCCCGCCGCGGCGCGCGCCTCCAGGGGTTCCCACACCGAAAACCACCTCGCAGCCGGGGCGGCGGCTGTCAGCCCCGCAGACCCCCACACACACAAAGAAACGAAGGGACTCAACTTGGGCCAAAAACCTGGTTCCCCAAACGCGGCCATAAGTGTGCAAGCCACCGCCCGTGGTCCCCAGACAGGAGTCGGGAGTCCCCGCAGTCCCGCAGGGCGCACCAGCCAGGGAGAGATCGCCAGACGTGGAGCGCGTTAGGACCGCGCGGAGTTGACTGGGCGACCGCCAAAAGCTCCACGGGCTGGGGCTGCGGAGCCCGCACCTGTCCGCAGACCGCGCGAGGACCCCGTTTTGCTGCGGGGCTCACGGAGGCCCCCGCCTTCGCCGCTCGCCCGGGTGGGTGCGGCTGGGACGCAGGGCGGCGGCTGCGACCCCTACACTCCAGCAGTCCCATCTACGGTGCCCACCGCCAGTGTCCAGGGCGGCACTTGTAAAGTTTAGTCTGCTGTACAACCACGGGAGCTGAGTCCAATGGGGGTGGGGAGGGGT